TTTGAACTTTGTCTACTTTTAAGTCTATATCTACTTGGAACTTTAGATGAGGTCATTATTAGGCAATATCAAATAACATATTTTAAAACAACGTTGTTTATTGCTCCTTCTGCGCACGGAAGCGCATTTTTATCCTTTTTATTTTTCATTTAAAAATACGTTTCTTCCACTTGTGCACGCCCTTTTGCGCAAGCTCTTCTGTCTGTGCGCTGCTCGGTGTGGAAGCAAAAACGCGGATGAAAGCACGATAATTCGCTTTTACGTACCGACAAGGTTATTCCTGTTGCACGAGTGTAATATCTAGCGCAACCCTGCCTTTACCACGTGCCTAAAATTTATTATAAAATTGACATAATTTCTGGTTTAGTATGAGGCTGAGAAATTTTCTATTTTAAATTATATTTTAATTATCAGATATTAAAGAGCTAAATCACATCGTTTAGTTGATTATTTGACTGATCATGATGTATTCTAGCACCCCACTGCTTTGTCCCCCTGGTCGGGTAACTTAGCTGCACAGACATGATCCATCTAATCTCACGGATTTTTTCTAATAAATTTTTTCGAGTTAAATTTAAACACCCTGTATATATGATATTCATAGCATCTATCGTTCGTCACAGCGAGCCTTCTTGGCTTAAGTACCTTTTCTTACAATTGCAATTTAATGTTATTTAATTGACCTCCGGCTATGTAATAACAACTGGGAACAGATCATTACGCATCACATATCATTCGCCTGAATCTCCACCAGAAGAAAGTAACGCTACATGCCAGTTGCCGCTGAGATACAAAGACGAAACACTTTGGTTTGAACGGTTCTCAAAGGGTTTGTTGCCCACTAAACATGGGAACATATTTACTTCTCCTTGAGCGTTGAGATGAACATTACCACCTGACCTATGCTGTGCAAACCGGAGTGATTTGTGCGTTTTGTCTTTGCTAAAATGGCTGTGCCCGTCATTTATTTGGTTAACCCGCCGCCACCTTGCTAGAGCAAGGTCGAAATCACTTCATTACTTCCGTTTCCGCTTCATGCATTTGTTGCATTACCTTGTTTATTTATTTATTTAAATTCCTTAAGGACCTCCTTGGAGGTATTGCATAAGCGGTGAGTAAAAAATACAAAAAAGGGGCGGCGCACAAAGAAAAGGCGCATAAAAACAATTCAAAGACAAAAACATATATATAGATGAAAATATACGCACAAATCAGTTACGCACATATCTAAAATACGAGATCTAATAAAAGTTCCTGGAATTTTGTGGCGTCAGGTGTAGCGAAAACGTCTGAGGGAAGACTGTTCCAATCAATGGCAGTGCGTAAAAATAAAAATAAATAAAAATTTGAAACGTAACTATTCTGGCTTTTGGGCGCGCTACGCTGAGGGTATGGCCCGTACGACGATGACAGAGTACCGGAGATGAGATGTGCGATGACCGGATCACGGGCTGTAATAAAATTTGTGTAAAAGAAATAGCCTAGGATGTTTGCGACATCCAGAAAGGAGAGGAAGACTGGCACGAATTCTAAAGCGCCGTTCACACATATGCGACGGAGTAAGACCGAGAGAGACCAGGCCGGTTTTTAAGCCTCTTACGAGGTCTTAGAAGCCGCTCCGCTGCAGAACATTCCGTCCTAAGAAGTCGCAAGAGGCTTAAAAACCGGTCTGGTCTCTCTCGGTCTAACTCGGTTGCGTATATGTGAACGGGCCTTAAGAGAAGAAACGCTTGTAAAAGAATAATAGTCTGAGTAAACCAAACGTAATGCACGGTTCTGGATTGATTGAATGTTATTGGTGAGATAATCCTGATGTGGGTCCCAGATGGCAGATGCGATCTCGAGTTTATGACGGACAAGGGATGAGTAGGCAAGCAGCTTTAGATGAGGAGGGTCCAGTTTAAGGTTACACTTCAAAACTCCTACAGATATATTGGCAGAGGAGATAGTGTGGCTGATATGAGTGGCGCAGGAGAGATTAAATTAAAGGTGTACACCCGCCGGCAATATGAAGGCGAACACCTTACCTGGTTTCTTGCCTGTTTTACGGCTCCCGAAAGCTATATTAACTCTCAAACTCTCAAATGGTACGTGGCTTGGGGTTAAACTCTGTGTTCTAGCCCTCTTCTGGAACAGAGCTTGTTCCAAAACTTGCAGGAGCGTCAAAAACAAGAATAGGGCTGTTCAGCTTCGTATCGCTCACGGGTGTACACCGAAATACTCGTACCCATAGTTCTTTTACAATGGTTTGTTGTTAAGTGAATAGGAAAATATGGAAGGATTCAAACGACGAATAAATAATACGAGCTTGCACTTCTGAATGTTGAAAGACATCTGCCATTTTTCAAACTACGCTTCAATACTAAAAATATCATATTGCATGGGTAGGGATCGGATGGGTTAGTCACTTGACGATAAATGACAGTTATCAGCGACGAAACGAACATGCGATGAGATGGATAATGATATGTCATTAATCTGTATTAAAAAATTAATTTGACAGAGAACCGATCCCTGAGGAACACCTAAAGTTACTTCTGCTAGAGAAGATTATGCCTGGTTAGCGGCTAAAAGCTGCTGTCGATGGGTAAGAAAGTTAAGCATCCAGTTTAGGACCGACGGATGTAAATTAAGTTGAGACAATTTGAATATGAGACGTCTATGAGAATCCTTAGAAAAGTCTTTGTCAAAGTCTAGAAATAGTGTGTCAGTTTGAATGTTTCAATTGAGGTTAACATGCAGGTCATGAACAAAAGATTCAAGCTGAGTTTCACATAAAAGGAATTCTGAAAACAGTGTTGCGAGGAATCGATGAAGTTGTTGTCTGTCAGAAAGTGAAGGATTAAGTAGTAGGTGGTGTGCTCCTTTAGTTTCCACGAGACGCTTGTCACGGGGATGGGGCGGTAGTTTCAGGGAGAGCACTTGTCGCCAGGTTTGTAAATTGGAATGATCTTCCTGCGTTCCAGTCGTATGGAAGAATACCGGTTAAAAAGACCGCGAAAAAAACTTAGCCAATATCAAGCTTTATAATTCCTTGGTATTCTTAAAAAAAATTACGTTTATTTTATCTATACCTGCTGAGGAACAAATATCAAGGTTTTATGTGAAGTTTTTAATGCCAACAAGTTTGAAAGAAATTTCAACCATGTGTATGGGAAAAGCATGAGGAGCAGTGCAAAATATGTCACCACTTCCTGAGTGAAAACTGAACAAAACACATCATTAAGCAACTCTGCACATTAAAATGAGGCACGAAGGCGTCGGCGTCATTCTTGAGTATATTAACAAATTCAGACTTGGGATTAATAACTCTCCAGAGCTTTTCGGGTTACTCTTTAGCATGCACAAAAGGTGGGTGTTAAAAAATACACGTTTTAGTGTCTGAATTGCGGATCTCAATTGTTTGTCCACATTGTAAAATTTTTCTCTGTCCTAGCTACGCCCTGTGTTCCTCGCTTCACGAAAGAGTCGCTTTTTTGGAGCTTAAATGTTTCAGAGTTATTAAAGCATCGAGCAGAGAAGCTTTCGGTAAACGTGACGGTCGGGATAAAGATCTCGGCTAATTGTGGCATTTTAGATTTGAACATGGACCAATTATCACAGACATACAGACTTTCCAAAGCCGATAAAAAGTCATCAACATTTTTTTAGGTCTTGATCAAGGAATAAATGCTTTGCTGACACAGTTTAATTGTCCCAAACGTAATCAAATCATCGCCAATTGTTAGTAGGCTGGGTAGCAAAGTGCACAGAAGCAAGATGCATTGGAGTGCATCCTCCAAAACAAAAAAGGACACACCGAAACTCAGTGGCGCTGCACTTCCTTTCAAAAGCGCTTTCCGGCTCTGTTTCTCGGTCGTCGCTTTGCCATTTCAGCTTACGCTGAGGAGGATTGCACTCCCGCGGACAATATGAACCGCAACACCCAATCCGGCTTTTATTTTTTGCATCTGGAGTCCCCACCACTTTATCCCTTGGATAGCCATAAAGATCAAATAATGACGCCTGAACTTCGCGTACCATCAAACAGTTTAAACCAAAGGTGTTTTAGAAGTGGAAAGGTAGTTGGCGAAATAATAAAAGATTTTGCAGTTCGTATTTTTCTCGATGGTACACTCTAAAGGATGCCACCGAGTCTACTTTTACACTTGACGATCTTGTTAACTCGTGATGGAATGACTGAGAACCCGAGCGGCAACCTTTCTTGTGCCTTGTGCCATTGTCACCTCAACTGATCAGTTACTTTGTTAACTACGTAGTAATTCTCACCAGCAGTGCTCAATTGATCTGTTATTTTATTTGTTGTCTGAGCGTTTTGAATTGATATTATATAATGACGGTGAGCGAAGCTACGTGGTGCCAAAAATATATGACCTAAAAATGGGAAGAATAAATCTCTAACTGGGCCATTGTTTTCATTGTCACTCTGCAAAAATGTTAGAGTGAAAAGAGAGTGACCTCAGAAATTGTGACACGTTTCGGTGAACTCCCATCACCCCCAAATTAGCTTTTCATTGTTGTCAATAACGATATGAAACATATCCTTCGTCATAAGCCTAATGAAGTATAAGAAGTTAATAATTAAGGCACACAGTACGAAATAAAGCTCTAATTACTATGATTATCTGATATCGAATTCCTTTTCCTAGACCCACAAACAGCAATGAAGAATCATGGTTCTCGTTACGCCTAAACGGAATGATTGACTATCAATAGGGGGACTATGACGTCCAGTGTATGGAAATGTTTTTGTGCGTATATTCTTTGTAAACCACGTGCGCTAAGGTTCAACACTGATGTCATAGTGTGCGTAAATGCTTCTTGATTTAAGAAATATGACGTACAGATGACGTACTAATGCCCAGGTTCATTCACCGCAGAAATGAACTATTGACCTTTCGATGGTGTGTTTGCTACGTAGCACCTAACTGTGTCTATATAAACCTTATTTAATCTTCAGACGCACAGCTGTGTTGGAAAAAGCACACTACACCTTCGAAATGCGAGCGTCTGTCTGCTTTGTAAATCTTGAAGTTGCCTGGATGTTTGTTGGTAAGTCACCTCTTTGGTTATTTATCTTACTCCGGAGCATGAAAAGGCTACAAAAAATAAACGCGAAAAGAAAATACATACTCCAATATATCGAATGTTTGTACTTCACTTAAATGAAAAGCCAGTACAGCCGAATTTACTTTATAGGTGCTTTTCTTTCCATACATTCCTGCATCCCGTGGCCGTTTTATTATTCTTTGCACTACAAATGAAAATTATGGTGAAGCATCGGGTACCTTCCTCCAGTGCGTTTGCGCCGGTATTTCTGCTTTACATTTTTATAAAATCAAACACTGTGCAATTAAAATATCGCTTTAAGTCTCGGTTTTTGGCAGAAGAATAATACTCGTAGCGCTCTTTGAAACAAAAGAAAAAAAAGAAATAGGCGGTCGCTTTTTACAGTTCTTTAAACAGAGCAAAGGAGACCAAACTATTAACATACAAAAGGTGAACGAGTGACACGATGTGTTTGGAAGAGGCTACCAAACGTGTAAAACAATCGCATCATGTGTAGTATTGAAAGTGTTAAAAGAAAACAAATATTCTAAGAAAATTGTTTATTTTGTTAATATAAACTATAAACACGGAAATATTAATACGAGTCAGAATATCGAAGTATAATTTTGATATAGTTAGAGTTCGTGGTGGAAGAGGAGATGTGCATTACCAAGGCCAGCCAAGGCGGCAAATATTTTCTCGGACTTTGCACAAGTCCCACCCGGGACACTCTCGGTTAAATGGCTATCCAGAGCCGTAAAGGGGGAGAGTTTGGCAAGTTTATGACCTCGCCGCCGTAACGCCCACCTCTCGAGTAAGCCAATCATCCCGCGGCGCAGAGCGAGAGTTGTGAGCGCAAATGCGTGAACTCCCGGCTGCTCCAAGCTGAGAGAGCCACCATTTCCGTTCATTCGCCGGGTGGAATGCATGGGCTCAGAATTTCAATTTCGGTTATTTCCTTTTATATCGCTCGCCCTGACAAAAAAAATGATATACTGTTATTTATCAGTAAGTTTAAAAGCTAACAATCAAAGTTTTCTCGATGTCCGACTGCAAACTTGTATTCAGGCGAAAAAGAAGTCAGCCCGCAGCAGACAACGCGTAGCTTCAAAAGTGCTCTGTACAGAAAGCGTGTCGCATCAGAATGGCTCTCGCCTCCTTTTTGCTCCCTCCTTCCTCTCTCGCACATTCGGCGCTCACCTCCCTTTCCTCCACCTTTCGCCTCTGCAGTGCCATCGTCGCCACGCACACTGGCCAGACTGGGTGTATCTCGAAACAACCCATTCTTATTTGAACCGTTCTCGTTTGAACGCATTCGCAAAACGCCCTTCTCGTTTTACCCTTTCGCGTTTCGACCCTTTCTAACTTATACCCGTCTCATTTGAACCCATTCTCATTTGAATCCTTCTCGTCTGAACCCATTCGCAAAACGCCCTTCGCGTTTTAACCTTTCGCGTTTCGACCCTTTCTCATTTGAACCCGTTGTCATTTGAACACCGTAGTGAGAGTTGAAGATGAAGCGAAGCGGCACCATCTCTTGCATAGCACATGAAACAATTTTCCTTATGCCTGCGGGCCACCCCGAGTCTGTTGACGTAGCTACGTGGTCACATGGTGACGTGGTTTCAAAAGTGCTAGCGCAGGTTCGGTACTTCATTTATCTTCTGTCGCTGTATGTCGTAAGATGTAGTCGTGTGGAGCGGATGGATCATTGTGCTAGTCGTGTGTTATTGCTTGTAATGGCCAATTCGGGTGTTTATTTTCCCTGAAAAAAAGTTTTCCCATATCTTCGGCAAGGGCGTTCGCGTGATCAAAGGCTGGCGGGTGCAAGCTTTTCGGGTTGCGCTTCTCAGGCGTGTACCGGCAATTTACCAGCAGAAGTTTTTCCGAGCTCCAAGAGGTCGGGCAGCTTGTCTGCCAGTCTGTATCCAGTATCGTCACATCCGAATCGGGATAGGAAACCAAACGAAACAATGCTCGCTGAGGCGGCAAATAGCGGGTTCAAGTGGCAAACGAAGCCATCGAGACAGGCACCCTTTTGTGCTCTGAGACAAGATAGCAAAAACAACGAAGAGGAATATAATTTATGTTTCAAAGAAACATTTTTGGAAGAATATATCCAGCCTGAGCAAGGTATGTTTGCTCTGAGACATGGGCTGCATCATACATCACTTTATTTTACAACTCTGTAAAAACAAGTTATTACACCGCTGAAAAAAAAGTATGCATAGTGATGCAGTTTGAAACTTGAACACGCATTACAATTTCAAGGAGGGTGGGTGCAATGAGAAGACTGAGGATTCCAAAAAAGGTACTAGAGAGTTTTAGTAGATCGTTCCGATACCCCCGATAACGATACTATGCATGCACAAGGGAGGCGGTGGCGGAGTATCGGGTATCGTTATCGGAGTCATGGGAACGATCTACTAAAACCCTCTACTAGCAGTAAACAGAATATGGAAAGCGACGCCGGCAAGCCTTCGTGGCAACAGTTAATCGAAAGTCCAAACGAAGTTTATTGAAATTTGACGCGCGTGCGGGCAGCACCACACTGATTTATACATCTGCCCTTTCATTGATTTTATATTTTAATATTCTGTCAGCTGTACGGACTGTGGTAATGCCAATATTTTGAAAAATTTTGTGCAGCCGCTTCTGTTTACACACATCTCAAAGAGTCGTAGTTTATGTTGTTGGCGTATGCAGCGTGCTCATGGTACCATAGAATGACCGAAGAAGAAGTTAACAGAGCTCACTCGCAACCCAGTCAAATAAAAACGCCAGTTCATTGTGCTTTGCATTCGGGTGGAGAGGGTCACGTGATGCGCCGCTGGCGCGTTTTTGGTCGCCGGTGCCACAGGCAAGGGCTCGAAGGAAATTAATTACCCGAATTCGCCATAAATACCGCAGAAAGATTGCGAGATCATGATGCTGGATTAATTTGGGTTCGAAATGAGAGAGGTTAAAAGGAGAAAAGTCTTTCTGACAGTGGTCAAAACCAGAAAGTATGTTTTGAGAAAATTTTAAATGAGAAAGGTTAAAATGAGAAAAGTCGTTTTGAGAAGGGTCCAAACCCGAAAGTTTGTTTTGAGAACGGTTTAAATGAGAAAGGGAGAAACGCGAAAGTTGTTTTGCGCTGGGTTGAAATGAGAAGGTAAAAACGAGAAGGTAGAAATGCGAACGGGTTCAAATGAGAACCACCCGCCAGACTCTCCCAAATGAGAACCACCCGCCAGACTCTGTGGCCATCGTACAAGGTCACGCGCAAAGTGTAGGGGTAAACGTGTGCGCGAATATAAGCGGATCCTTGAGTGGCTCTCATCGGACGAACTCCATCTCCCGGCGTCTGTCAGAAACCCGATGAAATCTTTGTGACACTGTCTATATTCCGAGGCGGCGCAGTTGAGACACATCTTAGTTATTCCACTGTACATTTTTTATTGAAACTGGGAGGCTCTAAGTTTCACGAACCAGGTGCATGTTTACTTCAACGTAGTACAAGAATGTTGTCTAGAAAATTAGCTGGGGCTTGTTTCTGACACACTGCCAAGCGTGATGAAAACATAAAACATTTTTTTTGGGGGGAGATTTTAGATAACTATATTGAAACATTTGAGAAAATAAGCAGTACAAATGTTTGATAATGTTAGGAAGCACGACAACTCGCAAGAAATAGAAAGTGGCGGCATTAATTTACTTACCTTGACATTGAGACCAATCCTGAAAAATGGACAAAAGTATAGCAGCAGAACGATTCTATAAACTATTTTTTTCTTCTTTTGCATTAACTCTGCATTGTGTACAATATACTTAAAAAAAAAGATTACATTTTGCAAACGTGTTTTTCGAGCTAAAGTGTTCGTAAGAATTTCTATGTGCATTCAGTGACCTAAAAGTGTATCCCGCACATTTAAAGGGCAACTCCGCTCAACTCCAAAATTTTTATGGTTATTTTCGATCCCATTTCCCAAGTCACTACAAAACAGTTCTTCGTCTTCGGATTCGCGAAATGTGGAATATTATTTGTGTAATTGTACTTTAAACATTAGCAGATACCGAAACCGAAAATTCGGTTGCGTCAGGCAATATTGTTCTCGTGTCGTCAGAGTCATGGCCACGTCACGTCGAACCACGTGGTCTTGTGACGTTCGTGGGAGCAAGGTACGCTAAACGTGACGCGGGCAGGTCGCTTCGGATGGCGCAGAAAGTGACGGCCCGGGGAGAGGGGGAAGGAAAGAAGACGAAAGAGGCGAGGGGGAGCGGAGAAACTGGACATGGGGAACAAGTTGGCACATGTCGGGGGAAGCGAGTCCAAGCGGGAAGACGTGCCAAGAAAAGTGCCAGGGAGCGCGCTGGAGAGAGCGCGGGAAACAACGCACAAGAGAAGCACGACGGAAAGGCCTACCGCAGGCGTTAGCGCCCCAGACCCTCGAGCCCTGAGAAACCCGGATCGCCTTAACCGCAAGGCCACTCGCTACCGTCAGCGCTTCAAGCGCCAGGACCCTTTGAGCCCGGCCAGTGAAACACAGCCGCCGCCAGCTGACGTCAGCGCCCAAGCCCCGAACCCTCCAAGCCCTGTGAAGCCCGGATCGCCTCAATCGCAAGGCCACCCGCTGGCGTCAGCGCTCCAAGTCCCTGAACCCTGTGAGCCCCGGAGTCAACTCGCCCACGCAACAACACAGTGACGGGCAGCCCGGGACACCACCCCTTCAGAACGCCACGACAGTCAGTGAGCTGCGGGCAGGACCAGCACCGACTCCTATCATTATTAAACAGTAAATATCATTTTCGCCTCGTCTCTCCTCACCTCAGCTTGGGCCAACCACAGCGCGTATGTGCCTCCCTTACGGGGGTCGTCACCCGTCACAGTCTCCTCTATGCGACGGCACGGCGGGCGAACGTAGAGCAAAGCGCAAGTGTCGTCTGCTCCAGTGACGTCACAAGGGGGGGGGGGGGGTGGCGGACCGCCCCGGGGCAGCGCGCAGGGGGGTGTTGCGGCGGGC